TTAATGAAAAAAATTCTTGATAAGGCTCGAATGAAAGCTATATTATCGCCATACAGAAAAAAGATTATTCTTAAATCAACCATAATATTATATACTCACATATAAACAATATTGTAATCTTGCTTCAAAGATATTAGTCTTGATTTAATTAAAGAAGGATGTTAAAAAGAGGTCGATTTTTGAAAATTGAGTATAAATATGATATATTTGACAAATTTCAATATTCTTATTTTTTAAGGTATTCTCTTTTTAAGGTATCGATCTCGAATTTTTTATTAACATTATCGTATTCAGGAAATCAAAATTTATAAAATCGCTATTCCTTTTATTTACATCTTTATGAGCAAAAATCGACCTCTTTTTAACATCCTTCTTTGTTTTGATGCAAGTATTACTTTGCATTCAATTTAAGACTTGCTCAATTAAAAATCTTATATCAATACGAGTTCTCTTTAAAGCAAGATTACAATATTTTTGTTTATATATGAGTATATTATGGTTGATTTAAGAATAATTCTTTTTTCTTTGTTGTATGAGATTAGTAATGTCAAGAGTATATTATGAAATGACTAACTATTTATAACGAGAACATTAAAGATTTATTTTGGATATGCCTAAATAAATTTAATTATTTTTATGTGGTGGATTACAGTTTATTAGGAAGAAAGGAAATTACTAAGCATTAATTAATCGAGAGATTGCTAATGATATTGACTCTGTGTTTGGAATTAAACACGAAATGAAAAAAGAGATATAAAGTGCTTCAGAATAACTTTTGAAGTAAAAATGATTGCGCATTAGTGAGAGTAAAAAATTAATGTAAAGTTAAGCCTCTTTGGTTATAGTAAAAACAGGTCAGGTTAAATTAAATGCTCACATGCGATTATCAAACTTTCGAATAAAATCGTCATGTATTATTATGAAGAACGCGTTTGTGCGGAAAAAAAAATATATCTCGATTTTTCTTTCGCGAAAAAGTTGTCAGAAGAATAAATTTTCAACCCGCTTATGTGCATCCTAAAGTTTGTTCCACGTATAACTTTGGAAACCTCTACTAGTTGAGATTTTTCTATTTCTATTTCTTTCTTTCTCCGCATACTTATCAGATTGTATAGAGGAACGTGATTCTTCCGAAACCAAACTGCACGATTCTATTTTTTGCAAAATCCATAATTTTAACTCTTTATATACGCGATAATTTTCTTGTCCTTTGCTATACATGATGGATTGTGTCCTGTATTAATGCCTTTAGACCCTGTATACATTATAATGTAATTTGAAGATTATCTGTTGAAATTATTTAATTCTATTGACATCATCTGAGATCAAATATACATAAATAATGTATATTTAATATTAATAATGTAATATTGAAAAAATAATCAAAATTTTGAAAAAAAATTAATTGTTTAATTTGAATTACTCATTAAAGCATCCTTGAATGGAATTAAAAAGTTTTTTTTAATATGATTTCAATAAGATCAAATCTGAAGGAGTTAATTTTCATCGTTTTTATAAGTATACATATAAAAATTAAGTGATTTTTACATATACTTTAACATCTTTAGAAAGTATTTGGAAGGTGGTAAAATTTAAAAAGTTGTAATTAATTATTTGGTGCGCTTAATATTTAAAAAAGAAGGAAAAAAAATAAATATGCAGGCTGACCTAAATGTGTAATAATAAAGATTAATATTAAAGCGTGAGTTTTTTATTTTCATTACGTTTTATTTCATGGATTAATTTGATTTTTCAGATTTTCGTAAAAAGTCATTAAGAAACTAGATTGTTTCAATTTTAAATAATACGAGACGGGACGATTTTCAAACTTCATTTCAATAATAATTTTAGGCCACACCCTATGGGACAATATACACAAAGGCAAAAGTCATATCGATGCATTAATATCCTGCATTAATACGATCGGAACAGCCAGACAAAGCATAGTATATACACATTTCACAGACTCCACTCGAAATACCGAAGTGCATAATGCGTTTACATGATTGCACTGCGTATATATGATCCATCACACACAATTTTATCGATCCACGCTGTGCTGCAGCGTAAAGGCTGTCGAAATGTCTGGCATTCCTAACTCACATGCGCGTCGGTCGCACGTATAACATACAGTGGGGGGAGTAGAGTATCTTTCTACGTACAGTAAACCATAATATGCTGCGAATGCGTCTGCCCGGTATGTCCGTGCGAAATATTCAAACAAACCATGAAAAGTCAAGGAACTCGATCGAGCGTTAAACAGTCGAATAACCTTGACGAAAAATTCTTGGAAAAAAGCGATGAATTAAATCGTCAACCGACATGACGTGGCATTCGAGTGTTTTCAACTGATTATTCGCGAAATTTTTATATATTTTTTTGGCATCGTAAGTATGAAAACATTTTAGAAATAGCTAAATTCGTTTGATATTTGCATGCATCATTTATATTCGGATTTTATTGGAAAGTTTTTAAAAAGTACTGCAACTTTATGTACTCGGAGATTTATATTACTGAATCAATTATGATAAAGATTATAAAATAAATATATATATATATAATAAAAGTTGCCAATTAATGAGCTTTAAAATAAACTTTACCTCTGATACATTTCATGAAATCCTTTAGGAAAGCATTTTGTTAGTTTAAGATTCGCAGTACTATTTTTACACTCTCTTTTATAAGAAAAAAATATTATATAAAAGTTATAAACTTAAAAAGCTATAAACTTGATGCATTTATTTTTTGATATTTAAATGCTCTTTATAAATTTTTTTAAACATTGTGAAAGGTTTTGTTGCCAATTATTTGCAAATCTGTATAGGCACGTTAAAAAAACATCGACTCACTATTGTTATAATGATTCATGTAGTTTTAATCTGAATTGAAATAAAATTTTTAAGAAAAGTTATCAATATTCTTTTTATTCGACCTATAATTAAATAAAAATTTCAATTTTTCGATTTTTCCAGTAAGGAAAAAGCTAACAAAAACAGCGAAAAAATTAAACTTCTTTTTGAAACTTTATCATTTTTTTTTTCACAAAAACCAATGTTTTAACTTGGATGTGGGTCGAACGTAAATTATACTTATAATAGGTTCTGAATTTTTTGTTTCAAGTAATTTTTGTATCATAAGTCATGACATGAGATGGCATGATTATCTTGACATGTGTACACAGATTTGCAAATAATTGCCAAAAAAATCTTTTATAATATTTAAAAAGTTTGAACATTTAAATATAAAAAAATTAATGTATCAAGTTTTATATCTTTTATACTTTTTCTCAAAAAATAATAAAATGGGAAAGATACTGAAAGCAAGAATACTCCCCTAAGGAACTATGAAGAATAAAAATCTCGAACGAAATTGTTTTTAACATACTCAGAAAAAACATAATCATGACAACTATAAAGGTAAAATAACTGGTAACTGATAACTGTATAAATTTGATATGAGTTTTTGGGACAACTATATATATATTTATAGTTATTTTACGGTTATATCAATACAAATATAGTCAATTGAGCTATTAATAGTCACATACACACACACTCTGAAAATCTTTAGTTTTTTCATAACATTTTTTAAAACAAGAAATAAAAACTGCCAATTAATGCTTTAAAATAAACTTTATCTTTGATATTAAATTTCATGAAATCCTTTAAGAGAGTATCTTTTTAGTTTAAGAAGATATTTTTGTAGTATTTTTATACCTTCTTTTAGAGGAATTTTTTTATTTATTATTACTACATAAATAGTAAAAAAATAGTTATATTCGTTATAATCACGATAGTTACTGAATAAAAGTATTTTATTTATTATTTATCTCTTGATACACACACACACTTTAGTATATTAATATTTGAATAACAACAATAACCGTAAAATAAAGATGTCAAATTTAAAACACTAAAAGATTCCTACTGATTTAAACAATAAAATAATAAAGCGAAAGCCATTAGGAGTTGGCGCGGTAAATGGATTTGCGCGCGATAAATTAATACAAAAATTCATTTAATGATTCAATTGAAAATACATTGATTTATAAATTTTACACGTCGGCGCTAAATTGAGCCATTCTCAGCACAAATAGTTAACATATAAATGATTAATATTTTAAATTATTATAATTTTCAAAATTGAGAAATAGATATATATATGGTTATTATTACTAACATTATAGCAATAATAATCATAAAAATGAAACTCCTAATCATAATTATTTTACCATACAATTATAGTCTTAAATACTATTTTTCTCTCAGTATTCAAACATGAATGCAAATGAAAACTGACTATCTAAGACCGAAACCAGACTACGCATTGAAGATTGAGATTGAAGACTGAAATTTGATCAATAAAGACAAAGAAATTTTGTTCCTTTTGTTTCGATTGATCAAATTTGAATTTTTCAATCTTTAATCTCAATCTTTAATAGCGTAGTCTGGATTCCGGCCTTAGATAACTCGGTAAGATGCTGTTATCGACGAGATAGTAGTAATAGCAGTAGTTGGAAATAATTTACGTTTTAGGATCGGAGAATTTGTACCAGGCGTAAATAGCGCGAGTCTATTCCGGCGCGCGCCTTGGAAGCTTGTTCGCGCGGTTTGAATGAACGACGCGCGAATCCCGCAGGCGAAACGATGCGAGGTATGCTCGAAGGAGACTTACATGTCGACCTACATGAGTTTAGAGATCGAAAGTCTTCAAGTCTCGCATGAATCGCGAACTTGTGTACAAGGCGCCGCTTCTTGCAATTGTCAAATAGAAGGATCTCCTTAAGCAAACAAAAGACATTTCCCGCTTTCTATATTCTACTACGAATATGGAGATCCTCCATCTTTGAATTTAAATCATAGACAAAATCGGTCTTCTTTTCTTCGCGAGAGGCGCCAGAACGGCGTCGCCGCTGATTGAGTCGAAGCGATCGAAAGATAGGATAAGAAAACGAGAAATTTCTACGGCTTATCGAAAAGATCACAGACATGCAAACAAACCTCATCCTTCCGTCCAAAAGAATTGATTCGTCGGGAATACGCGACCACCTACGCGATGTACGTCGCAACGTTCGAGTTACTTCGGGCACTTCGGGCACTTCGGGCTGTTCCGGCTATTCGTGCTGGCGCGGCGGCTCGAGCGCGACCGAGGCCGGCCGAACGCCGCCGAGCTCAGCCGAGTGCGTCCGAGCACGGCCGAGCGCAGCGGGAGGCGGGAGGACGCGCGAGCGGCGAGCGGCGTCGGGTGTGTATGGAACGTGCGCCGGTACGTGCAGAGCGATCGTTGTTCGAAAAAGTCGAGTTTTTCGTGTACGTGAGGTCGTCAAGGAGTCGCTTTAGCGAGTATACACGTGTTCCACGGAATCGCACGTTAAATTTGACCCACGATCATCGAGTCGCGTTATCGGACACCTCGAGACGTGTCTCGTCGGAAAGAACCCGGCACGTGCCGGCTGTTCTCTCGAGCCACAAGCCGGCAAAAACCTAACCTTCAAAAATAACTGCGTGTCTTTGAACTGCGGAGACGCTTCTAGATGCTTCAACCAGCTTCGAGAGGTGAGCGTGTGAAATTTTCAATACGATAAAAGCCCATGAGTTAAGGGATACAGGGTTCCTCTCTTCTTCCGCTTATGAATCTTTGACTCTGAAGAGTCAGGATTTCTCGATTCCAAAGACAATCAAGAGTCTGCGTTTTCTTCTAGTCAAATGTAGGGAGAATAATCCCTCGTGGAGGCCTTGAGTGCTCGTAAGTGCTCGAGTGCTCGAGTGCTCGAGTGACGCTTTAATATACGGGACAGGGTTTTTGTGTCATGCGTTTTTCCAACAATGACGTTCAACGGCGCATCTGTGTGTACGTTAGCTGTGCGTTGTAAGAATCATGGCATGAGACCTCCTTTATCTTTTTACACGTAGTTTCATACGCCGTCGGAATGTCGGAATCTGCGTGTGCGACCGGTTATCCTCGCGCGGTGAAAATATTTAGATTCTCTTTCACGAGACATTTCTTTCGTCTGGTTCTTAGGTTTATAAGAACACCACGTTTCTTAAATTCATGAGAACATCATGCGTGTGTGAATGTCGATTCCGCGAAGAGTTCTCTCGGGAATTTAATATTCTTCCCAGCTTTGTCATTCCGCGAACTGTTAGTACTTAAAAAAATTTCTACTAATGTAGATTAACTTTAATCTTGATTTAATGTATTCTTTATCTTTTTCTAATTTTTAGAATTAGAAAAAGATGAAAAGTTAGTTAAACCGAGATTAAAATTAATTTACAGTGATAAAAACGGGTATTACTCCATTTTCATTTTCTGGTTAATTTTTTATTTAACCTCACTTAACTTGATAATAATATAAAAATTGTGTTTTTTTTCTAGCTTTGATTAATCTTGATTAATCATTAAACTAATGATTTTGTAATGGTAGCTTTAAAAGTTATTCTACAAAATCATCAGTTTTAATAGATTAACTATAGCTAGAAAAATATAATTTTTATTTTTTAGGTATTGTTTCTACCATTTGATGCATTTGCATCAAAGGGACCTTCAGTCCCTTCTTGAGGTTATATAATGTTAAAAATACAATTTTTACATTAGGTCTGTTGCGTTGCTTGAAATTTTAAAAAATTTTTACACTTAAAAGGACATAATACATGTTCGAATTAATTAAAGAGAGAGAAAGCAATGATGCTAAGTGTAAAAAAGTGCAAGCAACACGAACAGACCTATTATCATCAGGTTAGGAGTGCGTTCCGTTTCACGCATGATGCACATGATGCGTTATTTTATCCTTATTCATTAATATTAATATTAAGGACCAACTAGGAATACCGGCCGTAGAATCAGAAAAAGATATAAAATAAGTTAAACCGAGATTAAAATTAATTTACATTTCTATCAATGTAGATTAACTTTAATCTTGATTTAATTTACTTTTTATTATTTTCTGATTTTTAGGCTGGTTTTAGTTGGATTTTGTATTTGAAACCGTTTACAGTACAGTCATAAGCCAAGCACAGAGTAGTATTAACATTAATTACTTAGAACTGCTTGCTGCACACACTTTTTATAATAGTAAGACTGTGTTTGAAAACTACCTGAATGCCTCCTACCTACCTGAATGTCTACTACCTGAATCATCTTGTCCTTGTTTAAGTTTCAGTGAACAACAAGGATAAAATGATACTCGGAGGTACTCGATAATGTTTTCAAACGCACTCTAATCGTAAAGTGCCAATGTAGATTAATTTCAATCTCGGTTCAATTTATTCTTGATTCTTTTTTAATTCTTAAAGCTAGAAAAAGATGAAGAGTTAATTAAGCCAAGATTAAAATTAAACTACATTGGTAGAAACAAGTATAAGACATGTAAGAATTAGCCAAATATAGTCAAGAATTGTAAAAAAATTTTCTGCTCTAATTGGCTACGGAAAGCGTATACAGTCTTTAAGATGATCTTGAAATAAGAACCAACTGATGTAATTACAGGTCTCATATCAGAATTAGATTAGAATAAGATAAGAAGTAAGTTAAATCGAGATTAAAGTTGAACTACGTTAGAAATGGACGCAAGTCCAACCTCAAGTTAAGCAGAAAATGAAAAACCGAATCTTTAAACATGATCGTTTCGTACGCGAGCACGCATTACGTAAATCATGATTTCCAAGCACGTTCACGCTTGATTTCAAACCGTGTTGATATTTCTCGTCGATTCGAGAGATATGTTCAATATCAATTCAAAGACTTTTCGGAGCGCAGCGTATTGACAAAGACTCGTCTGTCAATTACAGGTACGTAATCTCGAAGTTCCTATCCGATTTGGATCCCGAAGTCACGACGGTGCAGACGATTGCGAGTGACAGCCGTATTGGTGAGTACGCAAATGAATATAGTGAAAACGAACGAAACTTTTCATCAGTCGCAAATTCCAAGGACTAGTATCTCTAGAAAAGTGGCCAATCTTCTAGGATTCTAATTTCATTAAAAATATACACATATATGTGCATCAAGGTGTTCCGTGTATCTATTTTTCAATTTTTTTCACGTGCTCAGTCATCTAGTTTGCCCCGCCATTTTTCATCATGCTAATGGCTTTCAGCAGAAAAAAATTAAGTTAGCACTTAGTGATTCTTTAATATAATTGGTTCCTACACTTAGATTCAGCGAAGAACTAAAGGCAAAAATCGATCATATAATATTAAAAAAATCATTAAGTGTTAACTGATTAGTCTTCTCTGCTGAACACAGCCAGTAACTGTGAGACTCAAGAGTTGAGTGAGTGTTGACTATTATTACATTGAAAAAAAAGATTGACTGCTGCAGCAAATTAATAAAATATGGCATAGCATTTTTAATTAGCTGCAACAGTCAATTTTTGTTTGCTGCTGCCAACTTTTTAATTATGTTAACCTATCCGCAAGTATAAAATTTCGATTGGCAATCAAAAATTGACTGCTGCAGCCAATTAAAAATGCTATTCTATATTTTATCATCTAACTTGCTGCAGCAGCTAATCTTTTCTTTCAACGTAATGTATCCTTCTAGATCATCCTATCAAACTTTTGAATCTAAAAGAATACATCAATCGATCGATCACTCAACTGTTGAGTCTGCTGAAAGCAGCCAATCCAAAATAGGACAAGATTGGCCAGACTTTTACGACTAATAGGAACTTTATAGCGAGGAGCGCATCTTCCTCGATGTCCATGCAGAGAACGACGAGGACGATTTGGAGCGGCCGGCTTGCACGAGGAGAGAAACCGGGTAAAAAGCCTTAATCTCTTCAACATGTGTGCGGGAGGTGACGGATCGTAGGCGATAAACGCTTCTCTCTCGTCGTCCTCGTTCTCGCTTCTCTTGTGTTTGTGCGTGCACGTACGCAACCGACGCGGCGCAGTGCGTACACGAAAAAACCGCCTCGGTTACGCTCGTACTGCGTCTCCCGCGCGCGCTTTTACGGTCATGGCAGGAGGTTCGGCGTAAAATCGGTCGAGACAGCCGGCTGTTGCTGCCGGTCGTGACACACCCCGAAGAAATTACGGCCCGAGACATTCGCGGGAAGGGACGGAGAAAGATCCTGGGAATTATCATTTTTTTATTACGGTTTTTCGTCGGACGCGCTTTAGAACGAAAGTAGATACGAGAAAGAGAATCTCCAGTGGGTTGACGATAAGCTTGTTGCACAGGGTGTTCAGTAATCTGCGATAGGAATCAGCGAGGTAATTGTGGAAAGACGGAGTAAAAAATAGAAAGTGAGTTCTTATCGATCGTGTGAGAAAAGCGATTATGAACTCTTGAGTTTTTCAAGTGTAAATCTATTTGTCCTCATATTAACCTTTAAGTAGGTAAATGGCCACAGCACTCCACGCACAATTATCTTAAAAAGCTTTTTCTGGAAAGTTGAAAATAAAAAATATTGCCTAGAAGTTTTAAAGTTCATTATTTTTATATTCTTCTCTTAAAAGGATATAAATAATGTAAAACCGTACGTACTATTGAAAGAGATATAACTATATAGAAATAAATTTTTTTAGAGTATCTGTGTACTTATTTATCTACTTTGTTAATCCACGAGTAGTTATTTTTTACGTAAACTCACTTGGGATGTTTTTACTTTGTAATTAAAATCGCTTATTAACTACATAATATTATATACTGTATATTGATTGTTTTCCGATTTATTAGTATTTGAGAATTATGGATTTAATCACAAGTTTCTGAAAAAATAAATAAAAATGGAATAAATTATTAAATAAAATAAACATGTGAAGTAGCTTATGACAGGATTTCTAAACAATAAAGGTTTATGTAACGTTTTTTTATTGTGAATTTTCAATGGAATTATCTATTTAAAAATTTATAAAGGAAGTTATTAAAGATAAAAGGAGATATATTAAACATCCAAACAAAACAATATTTTAAAAATCACACTTTTTTGTTGCTGGAGTGTAAAAATACTCCAACTGTGATTAATGATTCAGATTAAAAATTAACGTTGTGCATATAATTATCTAGTTGAGATATTATTACGAACTCCAAATTCTGTATACAAAAAATGTATCGCGATTGATGTATCTTGC